ATTTCACTGTAAACAGAAATACCTCATACTTCACAAAATAATTTATACTTAATAAATGCTCTCAAATAAACCATTCTGTTACAAGAATCAAATTATATATACTGTACTTTAATTTTTCCCATTACTTTATTAGTCTATATTACAACAGTAACACAATGAAGGGAGACCTACTGATAGTTAGGGTACACCTATAAGCCCAGAGACCATCTGAATCAACGAATTACTACCTTTAAGAAAACATATCTTTTGTCAATGGCCTCACATCAGTAGGTCTGCTTTTTGGATATTACCAGTATTCTCCAAATAATGCCAAGGATCAGATCAGCACAGGAAAAGAAATCTACATCTAATTCTAACTCAAACCTATTAATAATTTTTTTGTATTCTTCAAAAACCCTACAAATTTATTTTGCCTAGACTCATACCAAATTCTGAATACAAAGTGTCAGAAGGGATTATATATTTGCAATTAAGGCATCTGCTCAGAGGGAATTTACCTTACATTCTTCCTTTTAAATATCCCTCACGCTAAATAGAATAGTTGTGCATTTGATTATAAATTCCATAAGACAGAATCTATGCCCATTCATTTCATATCGTACTTACTGTGGTAAACTCAACATATAGCAAGCAATCAAATATGTCAGTTGATCATATAAATGAAAATAATACCTGTTTACTGAGTTTTGATAGATTATCCAAAGTAGAGGACTTAAGACCACAAGAAATGCCATGAGTCATTCCAATTATCAACCTACCTCATACTTATCTTCAATGCAAGCATATCAAAGAATGACATCAAAATCACAACTATGGCAGTATAGCCTGGCAACTATATTACACCTTGAATTTAAGTATAAAGTGAAGGAGACTTTTTATTTATTTTTACGATACAAAAAATTAAAGACAATGCTTCGTTGTAGACGCTAACCAAGCACAAAATCTACAGGACAAATCCATATTACATAAATATTTAAGGTATGAGAATACCTTAAACAAAGAACGCTGCCCTAGTGGAGCTTTCCTCTAGCAGGTAGAAATAAACAATATGCAACAACATGATAAATAAGTAGATCATATAGTATATCAGAAAGTGATAAGAGCCATGGGGAAAAGATATAGAAGGGTAAGGGAGATTAGGAGTAGTAGTGGTAGAGGAGGGGGACAGGTTGCAGTTTTAAATAAGGTGTCAAGTTAAAACTCAGAGGTGAGATTTGAACAAAGATCTGAAAAAGGTAAGAGGATTACCCAAGCAGATACTATAGGGAAGAACATTTCCAAGCACAAGGAACAACCACTAGAAAGATCTCAGCACAAGGGTATGGCTAGTGTGTGTGAGGAAGAGCAAGCAGGCCATTGTTGGCGAGAGTCAAAAGGAAAGAATACCAGAGTGATGACAGGAAAATTCTGTAGGCCACTATAAAGACATTGGTCTTTCCTCTGAGTGGAAACGAAGTATCATCACAGGGTTATAAACGAAGAAGGGACATGATCTGATCGGCTTTTTTAAAAAAATTATTTGGGCTATTATTTTGAGAAAGGAACACTTGTTGGAGACTGACTATTGCAATAATCTATACAAAAGGTCATGGTACTTGGACCACAGTGGCAGTAGTGAAAAGTGGTCAGAATCCAGATATATTTGAAGGCAGCGCAACGGTATTTGCTGACAGACTGGATATAGGTTGCGAAAAGAGTCAAAAATAACTACATAAGGATTATGGCCTGAATAACTAGGATAGACTTGCCATTGACCAAGATAAAGGCTAAAAATAAAGCAGGCTTAGAAGTGAGAAATAAGAGTTTAATTTTGAATATGTTGGGATTGAGATGTCTATTAATCATTCAGGCAGAGATGACAAATTGATAGTTGGATATATGAATCTTGCACTGAGGAAAGAGGGCTGGAGACATAAATTTGGAGGTCATTGGAAAATACAGCACAAAAATGAGTTCACCAAAGAGGTGAATGTAAACAAAAAAACTAAATTTTGTGTCACCTCCCAACAACAGTAGGTCAAGAAATGAAATTGCAAATGGATGAACACTAAGATAAGAGTAAAACCAAGAAAGTATGGTGTCCTGGAAGCCACAGATATAAAGTGTAAGGTTTCTGGCTTGCACTAGTGGAAGCATGGAGGTACCAGTCACCAAGAGAGGGAAATCCTGGTAGAGGATTATGTTTGTGAATGTAAAGATAATGAGTTTGGTTTTAAATATGTTGAGGTACATTATCAACATTGAGTAAGTGAAGGAACAGTAAACTGTAATTTAAAAAGCCTGAGTTTGGTCTCTAATTTTCTCTTCTGTGATGTAAATTGCCTTTACCTTTCTAAGTCTCAATCTCCTTTCCTATAATGGGGAGGTAATATTTTTACAACTGACCACAAATGGTTGCTGTGTGG